AGTCTCTAATCCGGCACTCTGGAGTTTATATTTATTTAAAAACAGTAGGTTTATTTCCTTTGGTTCAAAGTACCTTGTGTTGGATCTATTCGGAACGTTGCACCACAATTACTTATTGAGCAAGTATCTAGGATATGGATAAAATAGTTGTGAAAAACGAATAAGAAAACATTTGGGAAACATTAGAACAAGAACTGATGAAGCTTGGCAATCAGAGAAGGTTAACTGAAAAATGGTTTGATTTTAGGTGGATGAGAACTGGTTTGAAATAGATACATATCGAAATTAGTGGGCATTGAGGAGGGGAAATTAGCATCACCCGAATTCTGGAGAGGTTCGTTGTGCTCAATTCCTTACATCTTCATGTGCTTGCTACATTTTACTGTAAAATGAGATTTACAACAAGAGTGTTTAACACGAAATCGCCAATTGCAGCAAAAATTGATTTGTTTGGTTTGAAATTCAATCATGGTTGGTATCCTTTGGAACATGGATGCGTTCCGTTCCAGGCAAGGGATTTTCTCTATTTACAATAGTTGTTCGGGGTGAATCTATCATGTTTCGTTGAAAATACAATGTTTGAACTATTCAAGAAAGATTCAGAAAAAATATCCACAGAAGATCAGTCGGAAAATAGATTGAAAAATCAAAATCTCTTGGATTTTTTAAATAAGCCGTGGCCACGTTTGAGACTAATTTCAGTTAAATGATATTTCGGTGGACGAACATAATGTGCATAGACTGAATTTAGTCCTAACATTTAGTTTCAAATAAATTTTGATTCATTTATGTCGAAAAAAATTGATCGATAAAACTGACACACTCACGTTGTTCAGAGATAGACTCGTGTACATTCCATTCAAGTGATAAATATCCAAACTTGGGCGTCCACGATAATGGTATCTGGTCCGAACTGATATACACTGTTCACCGACCTTGCCGGCTAAAAACCGTACACGTGCGTTACTCTCACAAAGGAGTTATTCGCATATAAAGTAGGCGAGAAAGGAAGTGACAGAGATGAGTTGTGGTTGAAATCACCTGGAACTATTCATGAAACAGTTCCGATGAAAAATAGGGGCAACTTATGGATGTGTTTATCTTAAAACGAGAAGATTACAGAAAAAGTATCTTACTGATTGTACTACTAAACAGTTTTGGTTTGATAGACAATATTATGAGAGACATATGGATTTCTATATCTCTGACACGTTCGTCAGTAGCATCATTTAACTAGAATTGTGAACAGCAAACGGGACACAGAGTTAGGATGAAAAGATACAAGTAATCATACAGATATTGATCAAACTCCTGCAGCACCTTGGCTTTCATGGCTTTTGTTCCTCCCACCGCATAGTGTTTGGAGCTTCATTCCAAAGATGGCATACGGTATTGCCCCACATCTGTACTAATATTCCCTTTTGTTTTTGCTTCTATTGATCGAATGCCAATAAAGTGTTTTGGATTTCTCGATTTCGACGACGGTTGCTTATGGTCTCAACAAACCACTTGCGCAAGTCAGGAACTGAGTTGTCAGATTTATACGCCTCACGAATAAGTTGCTTCTCGGATTCAACTATATGCCAAAAGGTTTTAGATGTTTCATCCGGTTTGAGCATGGTGACACTAGAGAAACGTTTGTTCAACGAATTGCGCACCTCAAGGTTAACTTTCGAAGGTCAACGTTTAAGCTTTTTAGAATATATTTGTAGCTCTTTCACTATGTCTAATGTTACCGGAATACTCCGTAGCCACATACCTTGCCAATTTAGTTAATCTAAAAAAATGTATTAATCCGCTTATTTACTGTGAACTGAATGAAAAAATATAACTTATTTAGAATACGTGTGTTGACCAGAATTAAAATCTTTATGAAACAAAAATCAAATATTAGAAAGAATGAACTTCCAAACTGGTTTGCATTGAATAGTTTTTCTATTTTGAACTGTAACTTTTGAACTACTAAAAATTTTATCGCCTCACTGAAGGTCGCGCAAATTCAAACGGCGATACCGGAGAACTAACAAAATTGCAATTGGAGATAAAAATCGGAATAAATGCATCTCATCTACAGCTACCGATAGATGTGTATGAGATCGGCAACGTGACAGTCATGATACAGGATTTCGATTATTACTTGTATAGTTTAAGTTTAAACACTTACTGCTTAAAGAAAATCAAAAACATCACTCAGAGTGTTATAGTGTATTACCCAATCTTAGTACCGCTTATTATGTAAAATTACGTTTGATTTGGGGTGTGTGGCGTGTTTCTGGATTTTTGCCACATTTATACACAATTTTACTATCCGGTTTATGGATAGGCAGCCAAAGACTGTTAGATTAAGACTCATTTAAATGTATATTTCCAAGTAAGTAAAAAAGTACCATGGTGGATGAAGCAGAAGTAAGTAACACCAATTACAAGGCGTATTGCACTGTGCACAACACTTCATTTTGCATACTCAATTGTATCTGATTTGATTGAATTCTTTCAAATGTGTCATGTTTCATGAGACCACCTAAAGCATACAAATCCGTACTTGAGCACCGCAGCATGATATTTTGCAAATAAAATCGGACTGTCCGTTGAAACTTGACCGATTATGAAACAACTGATTAACAAGTGATCACATTGCGCATGTTGGCAAAGTAGGATACAAACTATATCAGACGGTGATGCTTTTTCATTTACAATCTCTTTTTAAACTTTCCCTAGGATGGTAAATGTGAAGCGGATGAAGCCAAAGGTTTGGCCATGGTCAAACTATTCTACGGTGTTTATTCGGGCAGTGAAGAAGAACTGAAGGCATTGGTCGGTTTGCACGGTCCAACAGTTGCGGAAATAGATGCAGATGAGGACTTTATGCTTTACGGGTAAGCTTAAGCGCAATATTAGAAAAAAACTAAACGGACTTAAATGATTTTCTACATGTCTCCAGATTGTGACAGTTGACGGTCGGTAAACTTAATTGTCTGGGTTTATAAAACAAGAAAAATATCCCAGCCTTATATTTTATCAAGATGATGAAAGGGTTTTACTCAGAACATTATTGAACAAACCATGACTATGATAGAACAAGAAAGAACAACAGATTCGTGGACAACAACGTGAATAGCTCCGTCTTACATTATGATACATAATGGGAAGTCGGAATCCCACAGAAATAACTGAGGAAATAAGAAACCACGAGCTTATCTCGCAACAGAACAATATGGAAAACCAGATCAAACGTTTGTCTGCGAACTACAAGTTGACATTCTGTTCCTGCTGGCTGAATGTAAGTGAAAAGCTATCAACCATAAAGCCCTCAAACGTGCAGCTTCTACTGACTAATAATTATTTTAAAGAATTTAATATATGTAACCTCGAGCCAAACAAAACATATCAATTTTCAACTCGACTGATAATCAAACGTTTGCTTCCGAACTTCCAACGCGAACACCAACGTGAACTTTGCAGACATGCAACGTGGTTATTTCATAAGAAGTGACCCAAAGGTAATCTGTCAAATACAGATGTCTGCTCTTTGTCTCCCAAACCCGGCACCACAAATTTCCCCTATAAATATCAGCTAACTGACCGGGAGCGTTCTACGCACAAATAGAGGAGGATACACCGAGTTAAAACATGCATAGTTGAACTACGAAAGTGCATAAAAATACGCATCTGACAAATCAGGAGCACTTTCCGGTCGTGACATGTGCACTCCGCTTGCCGAAAAACCAGATTATAAATATATATGTATATATATTGGTTTATTCAGTGGTTTGCGACTCCGGATCCATCATGCGATCCCAATGCATAAACAGTAGTTTGAAAAATAATCTGCTAAGTAATAAAAATTGCGTTGCCTTGAGATTGTTCTTAGTCTTTATTCGCAACGGTAGGAAAATTCTTGGAAGATTTTTCGAAAATCTACTTTTCTGGGTTTGGACACCGAATTGAATGGTCTTGATCGCTGAAGTCGTATATACTCATAACACAGCACTTTCTCACTGCATAACGTTAGCCGGGTGAATTAGGCCTAATGTTCGACAGGCACCAATGTATATTGACCACTGGCTTTGAATAATAACAATTTATCAAATAAGTTGTGATGCAAATATGTAAAGGATTAAATTTATTGTGGGTGATAGAAGATAATTTGGAGGTCAGCAGATAGAAAACAACCAGGGTATTCTAAGTGCTGTGACCTTTCAGTGTTTGAGTTGCTATGCAAGATGCTGGAGCCAGGTGATCCCGAAGATGTGAATGACCTACGAATAATGGAAAACGAAATTTCGGTGCATTTGGTTGAGCTTAGGGAGAGGTTAACGCCAGCGAACGGCTCAGAAAAAGAGCTGGTGGTTGATTGGAGGCTGTTGATTTATGAGGTATTTTTGGATGCACTACCATTACGTCATAGAAGTACTTAGACGTAAAAATGCCTTCGTGTATGTACGCTGACCGTGGAAGATCGAATACATTTGGGAAGGCGTCAGTCAGTACAATCGTCATGCATTCAGTTTAACATATATAGCAGAAGATTTTATTCTTGTAAGGTGCTTCTATCAACGGAGTCAAAGGCTTTGTATAGCCCCAAAAGCAAACGTGAACAGTCATGTGTTTTGGTCAACCATGGATAAAATGGACTGCATAAGACAGGCAGCCGCATTTGCAGTAGACAGATGTTTACATGTGACCGAAACCACCGCTTTGTGTTCTTTAGGTATTGTAGTGATGTGAACATCATGCCATGTATTAGCTGGTCTACTTGGCTGGCTGTAACTGTCTTTGTGAACGAAATCCAATATAGAAAATACTGATGTTGGTTTCCGTCGAATTATCTTGCATTTCTGCCGAAAGATTACTACAGTTGATTCTTAGTGTCCCCACAGTAGTCACTACTTTTTAGCTCAATCCTCATAATGACCTTGAGCTTGTGATAAATGTCCACTGTAATATGTAATTTTTGACATTCTCTATGCAGCTCTTCTTTGTTTGACACCATGCATCCACTTTTAACTATATATTTCTTTTTATCGAACGAATCGACTGCCATCTGTTTTGTTCAGTACCATTGATTATGGAGCCACGGATGGGTGAACTACAGTATAACTGGTTGTGGTTGTTAGGCCATTGATGTAAAACGGCTCAGTCACCAAAGTTCACCTCAATATCACCAACAGCAGCCTCTCAGAAACATTACTATTCGCATAGGTCTATGATCCATGCAATGAAAAGCGTATCACTCGGAGTACAGATAAAGCACCACACTCGTTCTTGATCGTAGTTAGAGAAACTACGATCGATATCATTGTGGTGAACTTTGGTTCCTTTTTTAATAATTCTTTAATATTCATTGTCATTAGTCCAGTTGTCTCACAGTCACACCCTAATCATGCCCCTCCCCGAAAACCTAAACGATTCGCCTGCGCACTCCTTTGTTCGTACAGTTGTATGATGAAAAAATTGCAAGGAGACAAACAGCATTGGTTTTACATCACACCCTCATACGTCTTCCTCTACTGTTCAAACAAGCTACTGCTAAGATCTAAGCGGACGAAGTCATGATCACACCGATCGCTACTCAATCAGCAAACATGACCATAGTGAGTAAGGCATGCATGATTCAGTGATTTCACACCCCTTTAACTGTTCACCTTTTCCCTTCAGCCGAGGTCATAGTGACTGTGGTCAGTTTGGGAAATTTAGCTATCGTCAATGCCGCAGCAACTACAGTGCGGTTGCTCCATCGTTTCACATTGCCGTATCCCTCATCCGTGAATATAAACTATTAAATTTCCTCTAAACCTCTTTGTGATCTGATTGGATCATTTACCGCCGTTTGCGCCACTTGGAATCCCTCAACCAGACGAGAGATTACCGGCGTTTGCATTTTGTGCATTTTGTGATACTCTTGTCACGTAATGAATATTACATCGCTCGGAATACCGTGCAAGCACCAAACTCGTCCTTGGTTGCAGTTACTGTTGTAAGCTTTGGTAATTGCGCGAATACATACAGCTTAGCAATCTCGCGCAAATAGCACGGCTTCACGGAATTGACGTCCGTCAACGAGCTCGATAGGATGCAAGACAGATCATTTCAGCACAGAAAGAGCGTGGGAAGACAGATGGTCAATTAGGGGGTAGAAAAACGTGTGCTCAATTGACCAATGAGGTGCGCTGAAAGGGAGCGGATCCAAAGTGTCAAAGTGATGGTTTATCAATTCAAAGAACGGGTTCAGAAAGCAATATCAAAAGGGTATACTATTATGCATAGATGCACCGAAATTCAGGAAAAAAAACCGAAGCATGTCATCACCTGTCACTGACCGTATAGGCCAATTGTCTCACTCACTGAACTATGGGGATCGCACATATGTATTCGGGCTGTAAAAAGATGCGATGAGGATCAGAAATGATGTTACGGGCTTGAGGTTCTATGTGACAAAGTTGATAACAAATCGCGAAGCTGTAGGTGACAGGTCGTTCACATTGGCATCGTGAATAGAATGCAATGCTCAATCCGGAAGTATAGAGAAAAATGTAATTTCTGTTCGCTGGTGAATGAGTTCAAATTTTAATTTGCCATTCAGGGGAAATATCGTTGATTCTACCGCTATATCCTTGTAAAATTGTTAAATATCTTGTCAATTGTCTTTTAATGTCACACAGGTAGACATGTGCGTTTGGTTCAAAGGAAACGGTCATTCCAATGCACCTCGGCCTCAATGGAATCTACTCACTAGGTTATTGAGGGCCTAGAATGAATCCACCCATGCAATGAGTCATTCCAACATCCATGTCTGAGAATGACGATCGATTTTTCAATCAATATTAACATGGTTCGATTCCTTACCCAGCCGATCGAGGTCGATTTTCGAAAGGGGTTCGTCCATTCTCACTAGGATATAATGTCCCCAGGTGGTGGTGAAGAGACGATGTTTTCTTTCGGTATTTGTTTGATCAACGGTACAGTTAATCCATCCTCAAGGAGGATCAAATCAAGGAATTGACAGGGACACAAACCACAGCGTAGAACTGAGTCAAACGTAGCGAAATTTATACACGCGATGTACGGATTATTACGGCTGATGGTGATTAACGACACTCAGTCGCCATGACCACCGGCTTCATTCTCGTACGCATCAATCGGTGTGCGTAATATGATCTATTCTGGGAGCGATACAATACATTACGGAACTGTAAGATAGATATATGTTGCAATAATTAATATCTGGACAACTAGACAAAATTCTCACGCAAGTGCAACAGGTTTTGATATTCTTGCTATGCTCCAGGCATACGTATCCGGTTATCATATGTATAGATATATATTAAAGAAAATCACGAGATGGTTTGAAGGAGTGTTTTGCGGGTTAGATGCTAAAAACCATGTCAAATTTGGCTGAATGCCAGTTATGAAGTTTATCGTGTTAAAAAACATATATTGAATACATCCATCTTCTTTTTTTAAACAAAGGAAAAGGTTCACCTTAAGGAGATACATGTGTTTTATTGCAGATGGTTCATATTCAAAGGTCTCTGATGTTTTATTCAAAACACAAGTCATACGACAGGCATTTGCTGGCTCAGTAAATTAAAGTTACGGCTACATGAGTCATGAAACGAAACCAATGGCACGTTATTGTTTGTTTTCTCGCCACAACGGATTTTCATTAGGTATCTCTAACATATCTCCCTCTTTCTATCTGTCTCTCACTCTCTCTTTGTCCCTGTGTTTTTGCAGTGGCGGAATTTATTACAGCTTCAAATGCAAACGTGATTCACCCAATCTATCGATTTTGCTCGTGGGCTATAAATGGGCTGCATTCCACGATTACTGGTTGGCAAAAACTTCACTCGGTCCCGATTATGGCGAAGAAGGATACGTAAAGATTGCTAGAGGCTTCTTCAACATGTGTGGAATAGCCAACTACGCGAGTTTACCAATTCTGAAGAATATCCAATAACTTTTTAAAAAACATTTTTCTGAATAATCTGAGACGGAACGAAAGAGAAATATTTTCCCCTTTCTGCATTTTTGTATGATCACGACCTTTTCGTTGTCTCAGCGTGTGATTCTACTCGCTTAATTGGGCGTCCGATTGATCCCAAGGATTGAAAATGTTTATTCGACCCCTTGTCATTAGAAACATACGAATTAATGGTTTACATCGCAATCAGTATCTGTCAAGAAAAATTTATTTCCACGGGGATAAGTACCATTTGGGAAAAATGGAACAAATGAAGGCCAACGAGGAATTGGACAGCTGTTATGTCTTAATGATTAATCTACAGTCGCATGTTCACCAAAAAGCAGCCTCGAGAGAGAGAGAGATACGTTATGAAAATACTGATTTATTAAATTGGTAGTTACTACTCGATCTATTGGTTCCGTTAGCACGGTATTGAGTTGTATGTGTTGTGCGGACTTAGTGCTTCTTTTTTCGATTCCACGTCAACAGCTAAACTCCTAATTTGCCTCGAAGTTGGCACATATCTATGGACTGTTGTTCGACTAAACCGCCTGAGATATGCACAAGGTTCGGATGGTTTTCGTCGTCTATATGGTGCGCGTTGTAGACTTAAATGTGGGATGCACTTTTCCGCAGTGCGCGTTCAAATAATTTAGCATAATGAAAATCAGTTCGATCAAGATGGTTTTTCTACCCCACTTAGTGAGGTTTGGCTTTCCGAGTACACGAATATAGAGTGTCTGATTGGAGGGAAGTACATAAATTCTTATTTATTTGATTGATCTCTCTTCCAAGCATCAATCTGACCAATCAATCAATCAATCGATCAATCAATCCATCAGTCAATCAATTATTCAGTTATTCAATCAGTTACTCCGTCAGTTAGTGTGATGATCGTAGTAGTAGTAGTAGTAGTACTAGTAGTAGTAGTAGTAGTAGTAGTAGTAGTAGGAGGAGGAGGAGGAGGAGTAATACGCACTGGATTCGCAACTCAAACCACGCAATATGAATTCAGGAACACGAGTCAAGGACTAGCAATCACGGACTGGGTCACGTAAGCACTGGACCGCAATGGCACTAGCATACAATACACTACGTAACGGAGACGCGAGGAAAAGGCCACAGGAATGGTGGTTCGTAGTTCGCTTATTGGAAAAAATGAGGGCCATTAAATAATATGTACAAAAGAAGATCTATCCCAATCGCTTGTATCATTTTGCTTTTGTCTGGACTGCACTGTCTCCGATTGGCTGGCACGATCTGCCTATGATGTGTAGTCAGAAGCGGTGGCACGTACTCGTTTCATTGACGTCACCTTTGAAAGTTGATGGATCGGAGGGGTCCGAAAATGGTAACGCGCCGCGTCAGGGTAAGCGTCACCTGATAGGGATGGATCACCACAGTTAGTCAACCGACAGACCAGCAAATCAGTGAGCTGCTGTCAGTCAGACAACCAATCGGTCAGTCAACCAGTTTGGTGTATTGTTATTTGGCTCAATCGATCAATGCTGTCGGTTTTTGGTCACCGAATTAGTGAATTACTTAAGACCTCATCCCCAAGGCATCTGTCTAGTTAATCGCCAGTCATGGATGGGTGTGAAAATTTGAGAAAAAAAAATAGAAAATAGGCTAGGCATATGCCATGAAAAATCTACATAATCATTTGCAATCAAACGATTCTTACATTGACTTCGGTCTTTTTATTTTGGTATTGTGATGCTCACACAATAGTGTAGATGGCTCCAACTGGGAAAAGGGTGAGTTATCCATGTCGTGATTGCCGAGTGTGCACTTATCCTTGACTGTATCCACTAACTTACCCAATGGTTTTCTCTGCGATTTCGATTTCGGATTAATGCCAATGTCTGCATTTGGTATTAGTGCCACATTCCGAATATCTAGGTTTCCGACTGCTCTGGTGCATTCAATGTACCCCTAATGTGTTTGACAGACAGTTCATTGCGGTTAAACAACAGGAACCAACTAATTCCGGAAACCATGTGGTTAGGTCACCAAGTTGTGACCCGGAAGTCCCGGGTTCGAACCGCTCCACCGCCACCCTTCTTTCCTACTTCTTTATTTTCCCCGGGCAGCCTTTGTGTGTCCGCAGCTCCCCCCTTCCTGAATATCGACTGTACATTTGTATATTTAATAATTAAAAAAGGAAGTAAAATGACTTACATTTTGCTCTCTGCTTCTTTATGCGCGCTTTGAATCATGTCATTTGGATTAAACTGATCGTTCATTCGTGAACTTGACTCGCATATGAACGCGTATACACAGATAGGCTAATTAACTGACGTTAAGTTCATGTGATGCTACATGGTTGTCCCTTATCAAGTAGGATGATAAATCGCCACCGGACGCAAGTTGCCTGATCGAACGAGTAACTGTAACCTGTCATGGTGGGCTGGATTGGTTAATCGAAGTACTTGCTATACCTTTGAAGCAGAGATAACAGTTTTCGTTTGATTAGACTGCGATATTTCTCTTATCCTACACCTTGCACAGTAGACAAGCTCTGCTTAGACAGATGTAGCTTTATACCAGATTAAGCAAACGCTACAGTAACTGACCTCGGTCGGGGGTTGGGAAGTGTGAGTCGCAATGAGATAGAACGATGAACAGCAAACCATAATCAGACATACTTTTGGACATGAACCGTTAGATGGGCTGTTTCAGTCTACGGCCTGAAACAGTTGGGGCACCAAATTTTACTGAGGTCGTGATTACCTTCACTTTAACCAGTTAATGTGCACCTAACAGGCAGTTTTGAGCATTAAAAGATATATTTGACAAGGAGCTTAATCGTGGGTGTCGAATGGGATTAAATAACCAGCAATGTATCCATTGAACAACAATACTAGCGACGAATAAAATTATTGTTTTGCACTGTGATCCTTCAATTCTCCACTGCATTCTGTTTAAAGTCTTATGGGGATACACTGATATATTTAGCTATTTTATCTAGTTAGGGGCCGTTTGTAAAAGCTATAGACCTATTCTATGGAGTAAAGTGCGGATACATTCAGCGAAATTAGATAAACTTCCGAAGATTTCACTGCGAACCCGACTACTACAACAACATTCACCTGTGTTAAAGAATGTCAATCAATGATAAAATAGTTCAGCATTTCAGACTATGACAGAGAAAACAACCCAGGTTACATGTTGAACTAGTCAAGAATTTGATGTATACAAGTCAAATCATGGGTTATCTAAAATTATTCCTCTTCAAACCATTAGCTAAGCTTGCTATTCATCTTAATCAAATCCCATAGACAGTTATATATATATAAATATATATATATATAGTAACCCTTACAACAAACACTTCGGTCCACTGCTTGCTCGTGATTGGAATACCACAAGGTTTTCAGGATAAATTATCTTAAAGAATAAAAAACCGGCTTTCAGTTAATCAAATTCTGACTCGCAAGACAGCTAGCTGATTGGGGTGCACAAACGTAGTGCGCTCGGGATGTCGGCGTTTAACTAGTTGAGCTGTGTGCAATTCTTTTATAAAGATTATTGTGCCATGATTTGTTTGGCACACAGTCTGGCCTCAGACGGTTGTGAAATATAATAATAATAATAATAATAATACACTGCTAGCATATTATTCTAAAGCGAGTTGCGCTTCTCTTTTTGATCTGTTTGAATTCTAGGTGAGCTGGGAGCCCCCGGAGCATCATTATGGTTGCAGCCGGGCTATTAATCCCTCTGCGGTCCCACTTCAGAGTGAACGGTCTTGCCACAAGATAGCAATGTATCAGATTTTCGCAGTAGATGCTGTAAGGGATGGACATAATCCGTGGGAAAATTTCTTAAACCGAAATTTAGATCTCCCCTGCCATCAAGGAACATACGTTCTTTTACTAAGGTCAGAGTGCACAATTTCGAAACACCCACACATAAAAAGGATATAGTATTGCCATGCGCATAGCCTTTGATTTTTATTCATTACACACATACGAAAAATATCGTTTTATACAACGGAATAGGCTGTGCCATCATCCAAGCATATTCATCATGATCGCCGTATGTAAACTGTTCCATCACGGCGCCTCAGTACAAAACCTCACTTCAACCATTCGGATCATTGACCATCACATCTGTTATCCCAAAAACACCGTCAGAATGCCCACTGAAGTTTCAGTCTTCTGTGGATGTTTGCAAAATGGACAGCTTTTCTTTAGCGTCAGTCATCCGAACCGTGTTCAATCAAGCGGCCTGTGAGAATTCTAAGTGAAGCGGTGTATTTTATGTAGCGTTTGTCCCGAAGCGAAAGAGTTGATCACTGAGTTTGCAGCAGAAGCCAGTTCATTTTGTTAGTCCTGTTTCATCAATGACCATTACCGTACGCCTGCACACCTAAGTAACATACTACTCACACAGGTGTTAAAATGTGTTGGATATTGGGATCAATTCAATTTACAATCATTAACCACACATAGTTGTGCGGCACTATTCGATTCTGTCTTGAGATTACCCATTTCGATAAGTGTGCAGAAGGAAGATTTGAACGCTGGAAGCAGTCAAAGAAAAAATAGGGAATTCTGGCTGATTAAGGTTGCAAGGATAATGAGAAAATGCACGAGAGCCACTGTTCGCGACACTCAATCATAGTACTCAGTGACGTCAACTATCGGTTACGATCATCACCATGACGGAGTAGCCTGGCTAAAGTTTCTCAGTACCGGTTGTTGAAGATTAAAGGACATCCAAAAGAACGCCCATCTATTTGCGTACGCTTGCAAGAATAGAAAGTCATTCCTAAAATCTGAAGCAATTTTAAGTTGATGAAAAAGAAGGTAAAACCTGGGGTGCATCTTTTTGCGATCAAGAAAAAGAAGTAATGCTGATTACGAAGTTGATCTGTGACATTTATGTAAAATAAAGATGTAATAGATGTAGACACTGAGAAGGGACAAAAAAGACCAAACCATTCCTGCATAATGATTCAGAGGATAACTGAGCTTCCACACGATGAA